TGCATTACCAGATGCACTATTTCCAAAACCATTTTTTTCCACATGTCCATGCATCTTGAGATCGAGATGATCAATGTGAGGATATTTGGGCATTAAAACAACATCTTCTAGTGAAATTTTTGAGGTGCGTCCTAATTTGATTATTTAGAGCCTTGCACTTGTGTAAACTTTTTTTTTAAAAAAATATATATATATTTTTTACAGTTCTAAAGATGTATCAAATGTACACAGTCCAACTAAAATATGTGTATAGAATATTGCAATTGCAACATTACTTCTACTTCTGCAAGTAAAGTTGCAACCTTATACAAATTACACCTATTATAAATATACTTAGGTGGTTGTGGGCATAATCATGTTCCCTTGAAATCCAATAGTGAAATTTATCAAAACCTATAAGGTCGAGGGAATGTTTTACCATTTAATTTATTCCTTGTTAGCGAAGTTAATGCAAAAATCTACTATTTTTAGAAATGAAAAATAATTCAAAATTCAATCAAGTTCTCTTATTTTGTGTGCATTTTCTCAATATATCCTTGCTTTTTTTTTTCTTTTTTTTGGGTAATTTAGTGAGGAAGATAAGCCCCTACCTGTTTTTTTTCAAGTAGATTAGGATTTAGCTTTTTGAAGATGTAAGTGGGGTGGTATTAGTAGCGGGAATGGAAATCACAACGTAGTGACTATGGTGTGAGATACTACCATATACCATTTTTTCAACTCATGAAGTGCCAAATTGAATCTTTCGTAAGTCAGTAATAGGCTTTGCACTTCAATTGTCTAGTTTATCAAATGAAATATAAGTCATTTACTCGAAGTATTTTATTTTATGAGTTCAGTATTTAAAAATTTATATAAGATTGACACCATCATCATCATTAAACACATTTTCCCAACTAATTGGTCTAAAGGTGAGGACCTTAAACTTTCCCTTAACCTCCCTTAACCTGTCCCATGCCAGGTAAAAAGGGTAGGTTGTGTTATATAGGCAACCAGCATAAATTTTTTCCAAAATTAAGGTGCACCTCTAAAGTCATTCGGAAAAAGGTTTTTTTGATGTTGGAAAAGCATTTAATCAGTCATATGACATCGAGATGCATAAATATGAAGAAGAAAAGCAATTTCAATTCCTAAAAATAGTGTATCTTATAAGATATTATTTGGACTGTCTATTTTCAAGACTTTTATGTGCTCATAGATAGGCTTAGTTTGAATTACTTTTGGAGTTTGCGATTAATAATTAGAGATGAAAATATATTCTCGCATCATTTTAAGATTTTCGATATCAAAGTTACATCTCGTGATAAAGTTTGGGTGTGCACCTTAATTTGATTATTTAAAGTTATAACCTTATACAAACCACGCCCCATGAAA